GGGATCTAAAGTGTTTTTCGATATCTTGAAAAATTCCAATGGCACGACGTGGCCCTCCCTCTTGATTTTATTTGCAGTCCTCGATGTCTATCTTCAGCATAACTACGTTCCAGGGCGACCCTATTTTATCACTGCACCCGTGGAAATCTGGCGTGGATTCATGTGCTTTTCTAAAATTATTCTTATTCCAAACTAAAATCTAATTCGATGTTGATACGGTCTATCGATCTTATTTTGTTTCATTCTGCTCAAATTATTTCTACAAATCGTAGAAATTACATATTTCTGTAAACAAAGGAGAGGATCCCCCGTCTTAGAATAGTCTAACAACACGTATTAAAAATAGTCAAAATTTACATGCGCGCTGTTCTGAAAGTATTAGTGTTTTATCCAAAATTGAGCCACCGTTGGCAGCGGTAAACCTTCCTCTTTAAAACGGCTTTTGGTTTTTGTCGATCCGACTTTCCGTTTTCGAGATATCGTCGTGTAAAGAAAAGTGTATTTTTTTAATTTGAACTATCTCTGTCTCCGTCTGACGCGTCGCATCGAACCTCCTTCTCGCGCGTGAGTCGAGACAGTCACGTGATCAGGAAGTCGTAGTATTTCCAAGAATTTACTACGTTTACTATTGACGCGCGCAGAAGATCAATGAACTCGCGAGCGCAACAACGAAACGTAAACAAACCCTATCTCCGAAACTAGCCACCGCATCGATTTGAAACTAAAATCGCTATATCTCCGGAACTAATAACGCTATCGGCTTGTACAAACGCTCGTTTTAAAGGGCATTTCATCCTCTATCCAATTACTATACCAGCTACTATAATTTTTTCTGTCTTCTATGTTTATTTTCACATTTACTTTCACGTTACATACTCAAAATAGTTTCAGCTATTCCTATTGATCATACGACTAGTGTGCGATAAAACTGGACTATAAATTCGTTATTTAAATGAAAATGAATTTAAATTTGCATATATCATGTTTGCACAATTACGAGCCAGCACTTTTTCGTAAATAATAGTTTTCTCCGGAACTAAGTACTAGTATCGACTTAAAATAAAATTCCTTTTCAAAGGCGTTTATCTGCTGTAATAGGAGGATAAATATATACTTTTATAATAATGGCATTTGCCTTTAACAAAATATTTGAGAAAAGGAAAGGGATTCTAAATGTAATTAATTTCAGATTCCGATAAGTCTGAAACCGCCATTGACTAGGATAACGGAAAATGAACATTAAACTTTTAAATGCTCGGTCAAATAAATGACAGAACTTTCTGCGGGAGTCGATAGTAACAAACGCGTGGATTAAAAGCGTGTAATTGCAATTAATCACGATGTGGAATTGAATTACGCGATGAAAGGTTCTGTTAATTTCATTCCTATCACGCTCGACGAATTTTTGTTCATTAATGATGCCTTTATTCAAAATGGAACTTCACCGCGTACAAATTAAAACATGCGCTTACGAATTAAGCTGAAAGTTTTAATTGATAGCAATAGTCAATTAAAATGTGAAACGCAAATGCTTGTTTTCGCGCGGCACGTATAAAAGCTTCTGTCGTAGTGAAACACGAAATAGTGAATATTACAGTACTACTGTTCAGCGATAAGAATAGAATTTCCATCATAAGTAAAAGTAACAAAATGCAGTGAAAGTGACGATTCTCCAAAAACGTGTCGCTAATTGCTACATTTACCTTAATAGTTTCATCCGTATTTCATAAGCAATTCCAAGGCATTGCTCAGGACAGCATTATTTGAACTGTCTTCTGCTTAAGTAAGTTATTTATATTTGGTAAATTCCGCCTGGGAATGTAAACATAGAACGCAAAGATAGCTTAAAGAGATATTTGTATCGTAGTATCTACACGGATTTCTGTGTTTGCAGTGTGCAATAATTTCTAGTAGTAAGATTGTGCGATAAATACACATGAACGAATCCTTAAGTTTATCTCCGAGTAATTGCTGTTTACGAGAATACATACTGCCCACCATGCACCAAACAGGCACAGAGAAATTAATCTCGTGGAAATATTTTAACGCGAATTGAAATCGTTTCGTAACCTAAAGTATTTCCCTACTTAAAGCGCCGGATTATTTTCTGGTGTGTGTATATATTTAATTTGTTTAAATTCCTTTTGCGTGTTTAGCGAAATGATCGCTAAATTCTTTTCAAAAAACAAAGATGGCGCCTTTTCTCGATACAGTGGAATCTGTCGTTCGAATTAGCGTGTACTTGTCTATCTCTAACGTCCAATCCACGTTGAAGATTATAAACACATATTCTATGGGTGACTTTATCCGGGAGTCGCACGGACAGATAAGGGTACAGGGTGTCATTGTTGTCCAGAATACAGGACTGCACACATAGGTAAAAGCAGCTGCACGCATTAAATGCAACCGGTCCAGCAGTGGCGAATCTCAAAGACGCGTGGCGAGCTCTGCATAACGATGCAGCCTCCGTGAATGGTAGCAAGAACGAAGATGGCGCTCGCGCTGTTCTATTGTTGGGCCATTTATATATATTTCACCAGGAGCGACGTATACAAACGAGCGATGTTCCCTTTTGGAATAAGCGTCTATACCAGCTTCAGCGAATATATGCATCGTGCAGAGCCTTAGTCGGCGCGTTAAATAATCCGAGCTGCATTCACGGCCGGCCAGATCTCTGGTTTCTTTGTCTGTTCCCCTGTTTCGCGGCCACTTAATGTACCGCGCGGATGTCCATAGCAGTTCGGCGTACAATGCCGTGGCATTGATAATGTGACACGAATTACGCTGTTACAGAGGAGAATACCGCGATGCAAATTGGAAAGCTGAATAGAACGAGAAAACTTTTCGGAATGATTGATTTCGTTCTAGCGACAACCGCGAGCACGGTCGCGCCCATTATATTCCCGAATAATATTTCGAAAATAACGTTCAAATCAAGGTTTATACGCTTTCGACAATTTCCAAAAAATGTTTTGAGAAAAAATAAAATTTATTCGATATAAGGAACTGATCCACAGATTCGAGAATCTAGATGACAGTAAATATTTTCTTACAGTGAAAATATAATAATTTCGATAATTACGTCAAAACTGTTTTCAGAAAAAATAAAATTTATTCGATATAAGGAACTGATCCACAGATTCGAGAATCTAGATGACAGTAAATATTTTGTAACAGTGAAAATATAATTATCTCCATAATTACGTCAAAATTGTTTTGATAAAAAGTAAAATTTATTCGATATGAGGAACTGATCCACAGATTCGAGAATCTAGATGACAGTAAATATTTTGCTACAGTGAAAATAAAATAATCTCGATAATTACGTCAAAATTATTTTGAGAAAAAGTAAAATTTATTCGATATAAGGAACTGATCCACAGATTCGAGAATCTAGATGACAGTAAATATTTTGCTACAGTGGAAATAAAATAATCTCGATAATAACGTCAAAATTATTTTGAGAAAAAATAAAATTTATTCGATATGAGGAACTGATCCACAGATTCGAGAATCTAGATGACAGTAAATATTTTGCTACAGTGGAAATAAAATAATCTCGATAATTACGTCAAAATTATTTTGAGAAAAAATAAAATTTATTCGATATGAGGAACTGATCCACAGATTCGAGAATCTAGATGACAGTAAATATTTTGCTACAGTGGAAATAAAATAATCTCGATAATTACGTCAAAATTATTTTGAGAAAAAATAAAATTTATTCGATATGAGGAACTGATCCACAGATTCGAGAATCTAGATGACAGTAAATATTTTGCTACAGTGGAAATAAAATAATCTCGATAATTACGTCAAAATTATTTTGAGAAAAAATAAAATTTATTCGATATGAGGAACTGATCCACAGTTTTGAGAATCTAGATGACAGTAAATATTTTGCTACAGTGGAAAAAAATAATCCTCTCGATAAATTTGCCGTCAACTATTTCGTTATTTATGAGCAAATAGAGGACATTATACCAGTAAAATATGCATTTAACATGCGTGAAACAAGCAATTATAATATGTCAATAAACACAGGAATATATTAATGTATGCAATATATATTGGAAATATGCTGACATAAGATAATTATTTAAACGTTAAAATTGACAATGATAATTTCGAGTAAATTACGGGAATTTTCTCTATAATATTCAGCGTTAATTGATGACGCTTATCGTGAGATTAATCTATGAACAGACAATGAGTTTTCGACATTACGCGATGCGATCGGGTCATATTTAAATTTGTAGCATACTTCAACTTCCTGTTGGTCCTTCGATAATTTCAGCTCGCGAGATTCCACCGTTTCCGCGAGATAGTTTAGAAAACGGGATTTCTTCCTAAAACTGCATTCCATTTCCACATAGTTTTCTCTCCGTAATTTCCCAGGAATGCTCTTCAGATATTTTACAATACTACTCACTAATTGCTTAAATCCAGTTAGCGGCATTCCAACCATCTTTAGTGTCTTCACACTGACCAGAGTTCCAAAACGAGTCTTGACAATCGATATAGGTTAAAATACTTGTTTTTAATTTTTCACCATAACCCTTTAACTATGCAATATAACAAGGAGTTTTCGTAATTCTTTCTGAAAAGGATCCCAACAAAATTAACGATCTCAACGTTACGTATTAATTTTCCACCAAGCAACAATCTAAATGATTAATCCCCCCAAAATTTTCGATTACAATTTTCATAATGCCTGGTGTACGGCACACTTCGTATAACTAACAAGGTTGAGGTGTTTCCTGATCCACTTGCATATTCACAAGTTCCTAGCTCTCTACAATATCCTGAATCAGTGAATTACTAACAGTAGTCAAACCTAAGATTGTGTTAAATTTACGCCAGACAAACACAAACATTATGAATATTGTTTTCCTATTTCGACAACTTGTCTTCCACAGCTAACATAATGCATCCTCCTGTCACTTTTTACATTTAAAGTAGCGAAAAATTGAACGTGTGAAATTTATCAGGCGACTTACCGTTTGGTGGGAACTCGTAAAAGAAGGCAGATCTCGGGCTCAGGCAACTGGAACACAAAAAAATTATGATTATGCTTACAATTAAGTATATTTAACTGATAGTCGTTTGGTTATAATAATTCGACCTGTACTTTATTTATTTTAAAAGATAAAAGCAAGCAACATCACTACTGATTTCAATTTAATTTACGTTTGAAGTATAATCGACCAGTTTGTCGTCGATTGCCGCACCACATTTTAACAAAAACGTAATCAAATAAATTAATCTTTAATGTCTGGTATTGTATGGAAAATAGGTAACGTAGACTTTTCAATTACCTTCTATAAATTTCGATAACAATAAAATAATTATGGAGATATCGTGCGATATCCTCTTAGCACGGAACGAAGGATCAATGAAATATGGCTCGCATGGAATGAAATACTACGATACGGAGCATACACGTCGCGATATCGCGGCGAACGTGTAATATAGTAATTTATCGTTTCGATTTCGAAAATATGTAGTTAAACCCCCTAACACTATTTTATAAACAGCTTGTACGTTATCGGTAGATTGCGGATTTTATGTATTTATCGCGTACGCGTATATAAAAAACATGTGTTCAACGTATCCAGAATATACGTGTTTGTGCAAAATGAAATATTAATATTATTATTAATGTTAATTTACGGTGTACAGTCGCCACGTTATTTAAGACAGTTTTAACGGTTGAACATAAAAATGTTTCGAGCAAACAATACATTTTTTGGATAAATTCGCAGTATAATCGTAGCGTATTAACATGAAACATCGTTAGAACGTGGGATTTCGATCGATCGAATTAATTACTCGTGCTGAAGGAACAACAAACTTGAAGTGAGCATTAGTACAGCGTTCGATATCGTCGAAAGTAGCCAAGGCCCAACAGTCACGTTTTCTTTACACGCGGTATTTGACCAACTATTTCAATATTCCCCAGGTGAAAGAGGAGACATTTTTTCTATTTAACCCCTTAACTTTCAATGATGTCTCAGAGACGTGACAAGTCTACCGGGCCAAACCTTGGTGTCGCTTTTGACACGCACAGTTGGAAATTAAATCGTAGAGCAAGGGGTTAAACGTTTATATGAATAAATTCGCAGTCTAATCGTAGCGTATTAACATGAAACATCGTTAGAACTTGGGATTTCGATCGATGGAATTAATTACTCGCGCGCGAGGAACAACGAACTTGAAGTGAGCATTTGTACAGCGTTCGATATCGTCGAAAGTAGCCAAAGCCCAACTGTCACGTTCTCTTTACACGCGGTATTTGTCCAACTATTTCAAGTATTCCCCAGGGGAAGAGGAGACTCGCTGATCTCGTATAGTCGATTACGGCGGAATGCGCGCAAAATGATTTCCGCCTAAGGGTCGTGTTCAGTAAGACTAATCGCCTCATTGGTCCGATCCAGCGGTCCCCATTCTATTGATCGTCCCACAAAGCAATCGGCAGTTCACATGCCACAGACTCGATAATGGATGACGATGTATCATCCGCTCGTATCCGGATACATCGTTCTGTAATACTAACTCCGTACTAATAGCGGTCTTTGACGAAAAGCTAACATCTTAACGGACAAACTACGATGCAATTCTGCTTTGGCTTTGACACCACGTCCACGGGACTTCTCGATGTTTCCTCTGGCCTCTGTTCTCCCCTATCTTTGGCGCATCGGGTAACAGACGATTGCCCAGAGTGGTTTCTCTTGCCTGAACAAATTCGTAATTGTTCTACCGATTACAGTCAAATGAGCAGCGTCCGTTGCTATTAACAGTATTATAATTTGACGTGAATCGTTAGGCGAATTACTAGAATATTGCACTGCTTTAACGTTTGAGATTTCCTTGTCAAACTTTACAACCCTCTTTATTTCTATAGAATGTACTGTGCTTCCAGACTCGTGAAGCTCTGGTTTTATTCCAAGTTTCTTAAATTAGCGATGGTAGCGAACAAAGAATTTACAAATACAATAACGCAAAAATTAAAACTTGCACTGTAGATTCGCGTGAAAATGGACCCGGAGTTTAATATTTATATTTAAGATAAAAATGCACGAAAGTTTCATATGACCAAATAATGAGAAACATTATGTTAAAGAGAGTAAGTAGCGTTGATTAAATTTTTCCTACTTTTAAGGGCGTCTGTCCACGCCTTCGTAATGCGGCGCTAAGGGGCACACACTTCTTTTGGATACTGCCCGCGACTTTAAAACAACGTCGAATTGTCTGCTCGAGTTGAAGTGTCCGATTTGACAAAGCACCTCATTATTCTACAATTTATACAAGATACAGACGTCAAGGAACAGTATGTCTCGAACGAATGGAAAATCGTCACAATTATTCCAGTGAAATAATTTCTTACTGCTCCGATGTTTACTGAACGGCATATAAACTCTGTTAGAAATTGTTTCAAATTAGTATTTAATGAAATTATCGTTATTTAGAGAAAGATTTGTTTCATATTGATAAAAGAATCTATGTTTTGAGAAGAAGACCAACAGATTTTACGTTTCGATCCTATTGTGGATTGTCTGCAGAATTGATTACATGAATTGTTAAGTCTGTTTCTATATTTTTCATTGTGTGATCTCTTTCCAAGAAATATGGAAGGCAAATAGGGATTTCTGAGATCTAAGGATTTTCTATTGCATGTGCATAGGAATGTTGTCTTCAATCAGCAGATTTGTTTTGGACTTCAACATATTTTGCTATTCAATAGCTACTTCTACTTATTTTTTCAACTAAATAATGTGAAATATACAATATTACATTTTTCAACGTCATTTCCAATTATTTATTTTCTTTCTATTTTCTACACTTTTTTTTCTGTGAATTTGTGACTTCATATTCATTATTATCTACGTTCGTACTACACACATTGTAAAATATATCCTGATAAATCATATTTATTACTTTTTTTAATACCGCGACGGTAAAATATTGATTTTAATACAAAATATACTGTTATTGTCGAAACCATCACCAATATCATATTTTATAGGTACACATAAAGAGGCAAGAGATAAAAAAAATGATTTGCCATACTTTCAATTTGTATTTCTTTCAGATGAACAGATAAAGAACTTAAAAAAAATGTTAGAAGAAACAGATAAGAAGAAACGACGTACAATAACTTCTTCTCTTCCTGCTAACAGATAAGAAGCTATCAACTCCATTTCTGAGGATGGACCATTTTCATGAAAGTGTTGCCCAATGGAGCTGGTACAGTTTCAGTATCACAGTCCATGGAAGGAAATGAAATAAATTGGTCAATAAGCTCGAGTTTTCTTTCTGCTACTTTAAGATAACACGAGTGGTTGAAATCATTGTTACGAGTTACGAGTCGGCGACTATTGTGCTGGATCATATAGAGCCGGACACTCGAAAAGATAATAGACGTAAGAACTCGAGATTGTCGGCATTCGCGATGCGTTCCACTTCGTCCCAGACATTTCAGACATCGTCGTAAGACGCGTTGATTGATATGAAAATTCATTAGCGAACCGTTTTGTCGAGAAGTTGCACAAATTCATGGTTCCCCGAGAAAGAGACGCATTCACGGTTAACGGCGGCGCAGACATTTGGACAGCGGAATAGAAATGGCACGTATCCAGTATGTTGCATTAACATGATTCGAGTATAATCACGCGCGACACATTTGTCACAACGGCTGGATTTACGCGCGAATCGCAGCGTCCATCATTACTCTGTCAAAAGTGTACAGTCGCCCACGAAATGTTCAAACTCCCAACAGTTTGTATCAGCTGTTCGACGGTTCGAACAGTTCTAAATACTCGGTACACGCAAATTTTATGAAGAAAATTAAGTCTTTTCTCGCATGAAATTTAGAATCCGTTCGAGATTACACTGTTGTATAGTAAAATTCCGATTATCAGGTGTACTCGGGACTGGGACAATGCCGGGGAAATCACATATACTGGATAATTGGGCTGTATCTACACATGAAGTGACAAAAACGAGGAATTTTGTTTAAAATTAGTTTTTGATTTTTAAAAAAATTTATTTGACGCTGTACAGAAATGTTGTTTAGTACTTTTTTATAGGTACTCATGAGCTTTACTACATAAATAAATTTCAATAAGATACATTCACTATTATAGGAGTTATGGCTGTTTGAAAATGGGACCATTTTTATGAGGTTTTTCTAAATTTATGGGGTTAAGGAACGGCTTTCTCAATATTCTTAGGATTTCTACAGATTCTCCATTAAAGTACGCGTTGTTTGCATTTTGAAACGTTAAAATCCTCCAATCCGTTCAGAAGTTATGATGTTTTAGATACGGATGATATTTCAGTAGATTCTGAACTTCCTGGTCAGACATTATATCTTCGGTAAGGAATTTTTTTCTCGAAATTGCGTAGGATTTCGAAGGTATGTATATTCACCAAAAATAATTGTAATTGATCCCCACAACCAAAAATAATTTTTTCAGAATGATACGAAATTTTTTTTTTGCTGAAAAAATTGAGCAGCTACCCCCTGTTGATTTTTATTTTTAATAAATTTGTTTCACGTTGTGCAGAATAGTTGTCTAATACTTTTTTGTAGGTACCTATGAGTACTACTTCAGAAAAAAGTTTCATTGAAATATATTCGCTATTGCAGGAGTTATGGCTGTTTGAAAATTGAACTATTTTTATGGGGTTTTTCTTACTTTAAGGGGTCAAGAAATAACTTTTCGAATATTGTTAGAATTTCTACATATTCTTGACCAAAATACACGTAGTTTGTCTTTTTAAACATTAAAATCCTTCAAATCGTTCAGAAGTTATGATGTTTTAAAGATTCGCATGAAAATTCGGGCAGAGATTTCTGTCCAGAATTTATATTTTCGGTAAGGAATTTTTTTCTCGAAACTGAGTAGGATTTCGTGGCTATGTTTATTCACCAAAAATGATTGTAATTGACCCTCTCAACCGAAAATAATTTTTTGAAAATGATTTGAAATTTTTTAATTTCGCCGAAAAATTTCTGCGCTTACCCTGTATCGATTTTACTTAAAAATTTGTTTTTGGTTCTTTATAAACACAACCATAGGTAATGTAATACAATTTATTAATAAGAAAGTTTAGTATCGTCGTTACTGTTGGATGCATGCGACTGTGTCTTCTTTGTTTTTGTGAAAAATAGTCGGAGTAAATATGCTTGTTAATAGGTTAATATTGCAAAATGTCTAACTTTGAATATTTTTTCTCGCTATTTTTATAAATAGGAAAGTGAAATATCACCTAGTCATGTTATGTGATAATTGTGTTTGCTTGGACGCGTGAACGTTCAATTAAAAAAGATCTGTTAGGGTCGGTTGCGGGTGATGTGCAATCGTAGAATGCATCATTAACCGTGTAACAAACGGGCATCACGCACTCGTGAGTATAACCGTGAATAATTAACGCACGCGACCCATTCGTCACTCGAACACGTCTATCCCGTCGCTAATGAATTCTACGACGATCGTCTAATCTATTCTAAACGCGATAATGAACAGAAAACGTCACGCTTCGACTTTACGAAGATCCTACAAAACGATTCTTTCATAAAAACTTTAATTACTGCAAGTTTTTGTCGAAGGATATCGTAAATAGACCTCGATCGTTTTTCTGGTTTCTCTTTAGAAATACTATAAAACTTATATAAATAATAAATAATAGTGCTTTTGCTACAAAGGTAAATATTCTGAGCGAAATTAACAGTGTGCAACGAAACACGGCAAAGTTACATCATTTTAACGTTCTGTAATTATTTTCAGAGCCTTGAATACGAAGTTCATTACTTCGTTTTAATTATTAATTGAAATTTACGGTCGCAATAAAATTTGCATTCGACGAAATTTCTCTGCTTCGGTTTAAAGACAAATTTTGAAGTGACTTCTCTGTTAATAGAAGTAATAATTTCTGTATGAAATATAATAAAGAAAAATAAATTCGACATTCGTCAGGAGAAATGATATTTTGTACACCGTTTCTTTAGGGCTCAAAATGTTTTATAATATTTGATATTGTTCTTTCGAGATACATCGACGTATTAAATTTGGGCATAAAAATGTGTTACGTAGAAACGAGTAATTTTATACTTTTGGAACTTTCTCGACAAAGTAGATGAAACTGGAGTTTTTATAAAAACTTGATGATTTTCACGATGGATCATCAAGACGATCAATGCGCGCCGAGTTACTGTATAATATTTACTCATCGTGCACCATCCATGGAATTAATGTACACAGGCGTATAATTAACTCAGTCAAGCGCTCGTCAATCGATTGTTACCCCAAAATAATTTTGTGCTGCTTGCACACGGGAATTGGATAAACTCCGATATCCACTTATATACATTTATTCTACGAGTGACGGCCCCAATTAGTTTATATTTCATTAACATGATGAACTAAAAACATGTTTACCAGATACATTGAAAAATATCCCGCGAGTCCACTTGACCACACGATTACTCTTGCAAGCGAAATATTTGACTCGACAATTCTGTTGCGCGCGAACAGTAAAATTTCAGTCGCGAAAAAAGGATCTTGGTTTCACGAAATCCATATTATTTCGAACTTGGATGAGTTCTATTCCACTAATTCGGAAAATGGGAAGAGAAAATTTATAAATTGCACGCTTATATTTTTTGACACTTCGAATATTAATTTAAGTTTATTTCGCGATTCAGACTTTATGGAACCCTGTTCGTAAATATTTTACCGAGTTCAATTAACATCGGGGCCGATAGTTTGGGAATCTCGATAGGATATTTATGTTTCCAATAAATGGTCCGTAAAAAGGGTAACGATCGAGTAAAATAAGGGGTAATTCTTACCTCTGATAAGGTTGTTGATGTCCGGCCGGTGTCATCGCGGTAGTATTTTGCGCGGCGAGAGCCAGCTTCTGTTGTCGATGCTGAAGCATCTGCCTGCTGAAGACTCCGTATCCGAACCCATAGATTTCGTCCTCCTCCTTGTCGCTGAGACAGCTCGAGGGCTGCACAAAAATCGAGAACATTCTCCCGTTTTTCTGCTTTTACTTCTTTCCGCGGCTAGAGCCACGAGTTTTGCTTGCGTGGCATTAGGGGGCTATCATTTAACGGAACTGAAAGGAAGCGTTCGATAACGTCTTTACCACGATGTCTCGACCCTCGATTAAGGTCAAACTACTTTTATTATTGGATATCATATCCGCAAGACGGCTAGAAAGCGCGCTAGGCATCCATTTGCGCCACGAAATTCAATTTCAATTCAATTTCTACAAAATCAAATTGAATATTTGACCGATATATTTAAACGAGCACTGTATTGGTGATTTTTATCAGCAATTTATCATTATGCACGAGTTGTAATAAAATATTTGAAACATTCATTGCTATAAAATGTTTACAAGCGTTCTTTAATAACACGAGAATCCTTTTTAATACTAGATTTACGGGAATTGATCGCGTGTATATTTATTGATACCATTCATGTTGACGATTACCTTAAAATACGATTTTTCTTTTAATTAGAATATGTATTCATGCCATTGCATCAAACAAATTCAACATAAATTGTTAAAAAATAATATTTACGTGTTCTGCAATTTTAAATATGGAATCTGACAAATTCTGATAAATTCTAACAAGATAAAAAAAGGGATTACTATATCGAGAAGACAAGTAATTTATAAATAAAGAATTTCGTTCTGATAAATATAAATGAAAGAAAAGAAATATTATCTTCACACGGTTACGGACTTTCTCGATTATATCCCATCCCCCTTTCGCTTTCTCTCCTTTTTCCAGTTTGTCAGTGTCAAATATTGAAGGAGCTGTCTTGCCCCTGAAATTCGCGTTCGGGCATGAATGATAAAAGAGAATTTCATTCATATGTAACACTTCACGAAAACGTAAATCAGTTCTCGACACTTCGGTTGCATTAAATAAAGTGCTGTTATTATGTCGGCGCGCGTTACGATAAGCACACACGTTTCATTTGTTTACGGAGATTGGCACGCTTCAGTTTGCTCCAAGCAAAGAGGCACATTTCTGCATCGTTTTGAATTTCTGCTATGAGAAATATTACGTTCCAAAGCACGAACGATTTGATTATTTCTGATGAATGAAAAACATACATAGAAAAATGTTCACGAATAAAATTATTGCTAGTCAGAAAAAGATTGAACGAAGCAACTTGCAAGTCTGCAAACACGAAATGTTTGTCGGGAAACGTCGAGCATAAAGGAAATTCAAAATAAAAATTGCTCCCCCTGACAATGAATTAATTGCTACGAACTGGCCGTGTCATGTAACACGAATATTTTTTTTTTTTTATCGTTTCGCGACAAAATGTCGACGGTGGAAAACACGAAATAGGTGTAATTACGTAACGCACGTACCGGAGAATTTCAGCGAAGTTAAAGAACAAAGGGGAAAAATAAAAGAGACTCATAAAGATAACTAGAAGAACAGAGCAGAAATCAAGGAGAGAGAAAAAGAGATGGATTTACTCACCGAGTATTTTCCAGGCACGTAAATGGGCTGTGAATGACTGGTGGTGAGTTGAGTGTTGGGCATTCGGGGGGAAGCATTTGTTTCACGGCGGCGTAGCTCCTCGAGTGGCTCCAGGACGTCTCCGTAATGTGTTCTGAAGAGGTCTGCATATCTTGAAGCGAGCCCCTCCAAGTAACCCCTCTCACCTTCCTGAAACAGGCATTCGAAAAAAAAACGAACGTCAGGGGGTGCCTTTTCACGTATAGGTACAATGTGGTCTACTGACTCTGACTACAAAATGTCACCAAAAATAATCGAGTCACGGACAAACTGATTTATCAAATAAAATAAAAGTCCCTCTGAAGATGAAGCTAATTAGATTATTATGATTCCACCATTTCGAAAAATATTAACCTTTGATCCAGTAGTGTTTTTGTTCTGATTTACTATAAAAGATCAAAATTTAATTTTTAGTTACGAGATAGTTAGATTTGCCGAGCTATCGAGTTTCAGTTATTTCAACAGTTAACATTTCCAGTTAAAATTCCCTCTTTTCCGCCACTTGTCTCTAAATGTAACGTTTGGCCTACGTGTATCGTTCATCTTCTTCGTTTCGTAGGATGGTGCGTCTGTGTGGTATTCAGAAAGGCGGTCCAAGAAAAGACGAGAAGACGTTAAAAAAATGAGGAGAAAGAGGAGAAACAAGAAAAACGAGAAGAGCAAAGAATCGGCTTACGCTGCTGGGCGGAAGTTACATTAATATTTCAGAATTCCACTTTTGCTGGTGCTCGATTCGGCTTGGTACTGTCCATGGAGAAGCTAAGTCCTTTTCTTTCATAGCCTTAAGAACGGAAGACGAGGAGTTGAAAAAGTGGAGGAAATGGCGAAGAAGAATACTTTCACCAACGTGAGTTGGCTTTTATTTACACTATGAGCGTCGTCATCCATGCCCACCATCGTCATCTGGTTGGCTATTGTATATTTCACGGATTTAGAGTATACTTCTATGGGTTTCGACCGTCTTTGAAATGCGATTCTAGCTTCTGCTTTGTGCAAAAAGAATTCCATACCATAATATTGTATTATTCATGTCAAACTTAAAATCTGTGTGTTTGTGATTTCCCTATAATAATCTAAATGAAATTTTGCCTAGTTGTACTTTGGTCTAAATAATGCAATTCAAGATAAAATAAATAATATAAATAAGTAGAAATACAACTTCAACCATCTGCTGTGTTTCACGAAGGGAGAAACTAGTATTTCATAAAATATATGATCTTCATTCACGCACAGCACGACAGGATGGCATACTTGTTTCAATTCTAGTATGTTAGCAGCTATGAATTTTTATGGTTTTTACGCCATTTTCCTTCTGGGGAAATTTATAGCAGAGTTGAGGATGAATGTTTTCCTCAAGGAAATTCGTGAGGTTCGAATAATAAATACAACTCGCAAAGCTATTTTATTTTTCTTCTTAGCTTTTCGCGTAACTGATACTTAACTTAATTATTTCGTTCATTTCGTATTATAACTCTTCCGCATTTAAAATTATTCTCGATCGTAATTATCTCCAAGCAAAATTATAATACTCGGGTAAACGCGCTTCAATGCCAACTGGTTTCACTTTAAAAGCAGTCTGCAGCTATGGTTGGCGTTCGCGCGAGTATGCAATTACTTTGATACGACTCGTACGCATTCTTTTAATTCGTGTAATAAAGACGTTATAATAATTATGATAATTGCAGAGTGCCAGGTCGGATATATATGCAGCTCTCAAAGTAGCGATCGAAGCCATTAAAGTAACATGGAAAATAAGAATGTAATCTTGATGTTTACCTTACACGAAACGTGATGTATTCGTTACTTTGACGTTACGAAAATCGTACACTGATGAATTCCGTTTTACGATGTTCATGAATTTTATATTCGAATTTCATTTTTCGAACGCGCACGATGCGTTCCACGGACATAAACTGGGATTGACGTATAACGAAGTTTACAGGTCAAGTGCATTGCAAAATTCACGTGCACGACAGCGTACATTTTTCCTGCGATTTCGGCGCGGTGCAGAAATGACCCAGTCATATGCAGAGATACACAGTCCGTCCAGAAACCACTCATAAGTTTTCGGACGAATAATTCTTTCCTGGGACGCGATCGTTGATGTCGCGCAATACCGGGCTAAATACGAGAAATATACGTGGCAGTAATTCAGAAATGTCTTATCGAACTCTATTTTTTCGAACTACTCGTAATTCATAAATGCACATCGAATTATTTTTACGTGTTTCATCCGCTGAACAGACTTGGTCGGCAAAAATTAAAACGGCTGTGAAAAACGCGCTGCAATAATTCAAGTTACGTCGTTTAAAATTGTGTCAGAAATAAAACTCTTTTCCTGAATGTATAAAATGTCTGTTCGATCGAAACTGGAGATCAAAATATCAGAAACTACTCGTCCTGGTATTTATGTTTGATACTGTTCTGTCAAATAGACGCAGGTGTCAATAAAGCGGACAATGGGAATCACGAGAGCGTGAATTCGTACAATGCAATACGTATTGGCTCATAGGCCCTTCCGCAAATCAAGTGGTTGTATCCAACGCAAAGGTGTCAAACGTCAATATTTCATTAGGATATAATCTATTCTAACGCGCCTGAAATTACGATTTTCAGATCACTTTTACGATCGTTTTTATATCTAGGAAATTTTGGAACGCGTAATAAGAAATTAAAACGAAACACGTTTCAGTGTATAGTTTCGAAAGAATAACCCTTTCGCTTCGGCAGTCCAGTCCGCCGAAGTGTCGTCACCGTACGGAGTCGTCACCGTACGGAGTCGTCGCGCGGATGCCGGATATATCCGGCGCTCGTACGCACAAGTCATCGCGCGGATGCCGGATATATCCGGCGCTCGAAGCGAAAGGGTTAATTATCAAACGCATAGAACCCGTGAGGTTAGCTTCGACAGATAGGATCGACGCGATTGAAAAGTGTTTGCGAAGTCTCCTCTGGAAGCGTAAATATCTCCAGAGATTAAGAAGTTTGAGAACCACTGATCCACTCGAAAATCGATGGGAAGGTTAAGAAGGTATTAAAGGAACAACAAAGAAGCGTGAAAGATGAAACGAACAGAACGAATTATAGTTGTACCATCCCCCTTTTCTCCTTCGTTCCCATTCTTCCCCTTTCGCGGTTTTATCGATAATTCGCTAGTATTAATTAACATTCCAATCCGTCGGTTTAATATGACAGATCCTCATTGCCTCGTATTTCGCCTGCAGTTCTTACTCCCTCGCCCTTCATCCCCCTTACATCCCCCGTTTTTCTCTGTCTTCCGTTTAGCTACCATCGTTCTCCTTCGGAGGGGGCTTAACGATCAAACTGGAAACTTTCGAGGCGACAGCACATAAAGCGAACAAATTTTCCACAGCAGCGTAACTCTTTAAAACTTTACTGGCTCGTAAATTAAAATTTTGTCCATGAACGGATAATCGAGTGGTGATTAAAGCTCGTTTTATCAAAACGACCGATCATCCGTGGACACAACCGATTCAACTCTGTTTACCGTCGACCCGTTGTACGAGCAAATTCTCATAAATCTTCCAACAATAAGATACGTCTTTGGGGATACGTTTGGTAAATATGGTCGGTTAATATTACGAAATGTACAACCAATCGAAACATAATTGACGTCGGTGGAACATTTGCAACGCACTTTTAGAATCTTTGACCACGCTATCGGGACGGAGCACGGTAATTTGTTAATTTTAAAAGCTTATCGGTCCGAAATGGGTACCAACTGCAATTGGTTCAAGCAATTTGATCGGTTTTAGCAAAGTGACTCCGCTTTGGCCGTGTCCTTTGCAGATGGTCGCGCGAGTTATAAACTCATAAAGCGCATCGATCCGAAGAACGTGCAGGCGAATCCAGCAAATTGCCGTCTAATTAGTAGCATTTATGACATCTGGTTATATCCGAAAATTTCGAAATCCTCAAACCGCGAATATCTTCCGTACGCTCGCTTCGGCTATATACCGTTACGGTGCAACAATATGGAAATAAAACTTTTAAGTATAGAATCGGTGTCTGCAAACCTGCTCGTCAAGCTGCATCGCATGCAGACCAAACGTTACCGTACAGAAAGCGTTGTACCATTCACGGTTGGACCTTTTTCCCTTTTGCTCAGACTGCAGTCGCTCCTGCTTGGGAGGCAAACCCGATTTGCGCTCTTCGCCATTGAACGCCAGCTTTATGCATGTTCTATTTCCAACATCCGTACCTAAGCTGGACAGTGTTTGGTTTGCTTAAATCTTTTACTGAGTCCTGTCTCTCTTCATAATCTCAATTTTACATCAACTTTTTCGTATGTTCATTCCCAAAGGAGATACGTCAATGTTTTGAGTGCACAGTGCTTTAATACCTTGATGTACGATTTAATTCTAAATAATTTTTCAAACATATATAGGAAGTAGCCATGAAAAAGAATATATTTATTTTAGGAATATCTCGAAATGTAAATATGTGACGATTTATATACGGTGTTCGGCTATCCCCTGGGGAAAATTTTAATGAGAGATTCTAAAAGCCAACATAAGACGAAAATCAAGAATATCAACTTCGTGATTAAGGCTTCGTTATAAAAAGTTATTACAAAATTAAATTAAAAAATTTCAAATCATTTTGGAAAAATTATTTTCGGTTACAGGGGTCAATTACAATCATTTTTGGTGAATAGACGTACCCCCGAAATCCTACGCACTTTCGAGAAAAAAATTCCTTATCGAAAATGTAATGAGTGGCTAGAAATGTTATCCCGAAATGTCATGCGAATCTTTAAAACATCATAACTTCTGAACAGATTGAAGGATTTTAAAGTTTAAAAAGGCAAATGACGCGTATTTTGGTCAAGAATATGTAGAAATTCTAACAGTATTGAAAAAGTTGTTCCTTGACCCCGTAAAGTTAGAAAAACCACCTAAAAATGATCCAATTTTCAAACAGCCATAACTCCTGCAATAGTGAATATATTTGAATGAAACTTTTTTCTGAAGTAGTGCTCATGAGTATCTACAATAAACTATTAGACAACTTTTCTGTAAGACGTCAAACAAAATTACTAAAAATCAAGAACTAATTTTTAATAAATACGACAGGGGGTAGCTGAATTTTTTTTGCGAAAAAAAAATTTTGGAAACGTTCTAAAAAAA